AGACAAAACACAGCAGCGCCGCGGCTGGTTACCTACGCCGAAGAGGACGAGGGCTACAGAAAAGAACTCTGGCTTTTCACATTGCATTCTACAGGACTGTATTGTCCTTGCTTTATAACTGACCAAAAATGCAATATGGAAACAAAGTCAGAGACAGGCATTCACAACCCACATGAAATCACTGCTCAAAAAAGCAGGACCAACAAATACTGCCTGAAACACTCATCGCTGAGGCTGACACTGAAGCTCACTTACGTTTACGTTTTTCTTTCCAGCCACTGAAGAAACCACCTAAGGAAGGCTGTCCCAATAAAGATCCTCAGGGAAAAACACCGAAATGACAGGGGTGCTTCTCTGACTACAGAAAGGGGCACAGGAGCGTCTCCTCACCCAGGCGCTGTGGCTGAGAGCAGCTGTTACTTCAACGGCCACACGATCTCACAAGTCCTCTCCCTCAGGATCAGAGACCTGTTCTGCATTCTCGTAAGGGAACCAAAAATACAGCCTCTTTCCTTTCTCCTTGGGGACACCCACCACTTCAAATATCCTGGGAACTATTAAAGTTGACGATACTTTCTGTGGAGCCCCGAATTTACAATGCCTTCCATTGCTCCACCCACTGAGAACCAAATGACCAAAATTAGCCTTAAAACACTCAAACTTGGGGGGCGCCTGGGGGACAGAGTCAGAACAGCATCCAACGCTTGATTTCAGTTCAGGTCATGATCTCAGGGTTGTGAGTTCAAGCCCCACATCAGGCTCTGCACTCAGCACCGAGTCTGCTTCTCTCTCTCCCTCTGCCTCTGCTCGTGCTCTCTCTTGCTCTCAAATAAACAAATCTTTAAAAAAAAATACTCAAACTTGGATTGGAAACAATGGTTAAGGAGAGGTCAATAAAAATAATGCAATGAAAAGGTTTAATAAACTAATCGCAAAGGGAGAAAACCCTAGAAATGTCGCCATTAAGGCAGAGCTGAGCACACCCCCTCTATCACACTTCAGCCTCCCAGGACGAGGAGTGCCTTCCATCCACGGCCTCCTCCGAGCCTCGAGTTACTAACAACAGCGCAATCTGATGGGGAAGGCTATGAATTCTCAAAGACATGCAGTATCCACATGCTCCTCTTCAATGCCCTCCCTTTGCAAAAATCATACAAGATCTGTCATCAGACATAAAACTGCGTGCCAACCACACCCTGATAGAGAGATCCAGCCACATTATTACTAAGTACGGTTCTCCCCAAGGCAAGACCTCAAGGTCTGTTTGGGGGCCGGGGCCCCCCTTCTCCTTGTCCAGTCTGTTAGCTATTCTCTTGCTGATTCTGCCCCTCCCCACCACCCAGCTGCATGGACGCTGCGATGGACACACACTCACCATCCCTCACCAGTCTGCGTCTGCTAGAATCCTGAACTGGTTGTCCTCTCGTCAACGTGTAGCCCAGAGGATCTACCTTGTATCGGGCATCCACAGCTTAGTGAGCAAACCTCCTCAGAAGGGGTGCAAGATGGATCCCAGGACATCACACTGTGCTCTGCAGTACGAGACGTGGTAACTACACATCTTTCACATGAAGAACAGAGGATGCAGCATAGGGGTTAATATTTGCTCCACCACCATTTACCTCCGTAACATCATGAATGTTGCCTCAAAAAGCAGCTTAATCAGGATTCAAAGTGTGAATGGACTGGTTACCCCTGAACTGATCACGCTCAACTGTGTGATTTCTTACCTTTATCCTCCGAACTTTTAATCCTAAAATGAGGTGAAAAGAGAACAGGGGGATATTTAAAGGTCTTCTATTTTCATGCCCATTAAAAAAAAAAAAATTAACAAAGTTGGTTAGAATCTTGATTGCCTAAATGATTTTTACGACAATTTTCCTAGTTTCAGAAAGCGTACCCTAAACCAAAGAATTGGGAGTGCTATTTCTCAAAGACATTCAGGTGAAGAGAAGGTCATTTCATACAGCAATCTGAAATGGTGGTTATCTATAGTTCTTTTTTCTTTATCAAATTTTAGGTTCAAAATTAAATTGCTTTTTCTTCCCGGGAAAGAAAAATATCAGACATTTGCTGCAGTTCTAGGTCATTCATGGCCTCTGCCCACAGGTTTGGATATGTATTTTTGTGGAAAGAGGAAAAAGAAGGAGAAAGACAAAGAAAAAAGGCAGAGTGGGGAAAAAGAGGCTACCAGGTTTTCAAGGCAACCGGACGTCGTAAAGGAGTGTTAACTAACTCTGCCTTCGCTTCGCCCACTGGCGGGTGGCCCACAGTTCCGGCAAGATCACTGTGTCAGTAAGGGCACCCGGGTATTTTTCACCACACGTGGAGAAGCGCCTGTCAGCAAAGCCCGCTACTTCAGAGGACTCTGAAAGCAGTCTGAATGGGAGCAGGAGAGGGGAAAGGAGACAGACGGACATGGAGTTTGTCATGCAAAGAAAATGGGTCTGACTGTATTCTCTAATTCTATGTGTATACAGAAGACATTTAATTCTTAGATGTTTAAAATGTGTGGGATGAAGAGGAAAAAATGCATGAGGAAAAACCCCACAATCATGCAAACTCCTTAGCGTAGGAGGAGTGGCAGGTTTCCCACATTATAGCTTCCTCCGTCTGACACATCACAGCCTGTTGACCCACCCTAGAGTGGTGACCGCAGGCTCCTCCACAATTCACAGTCATCACTGGGAGTCCATGCAGACACCAACATTTCTAGATGTATTCAACCAAGCTCAAATTTAAATAATTTGCTATGAAAACTGTAGGATAAAAAGTAACTTTGAAAATTCACAGCCATGTAACGTTATCTAAGACTAGTAGCGTATATAATTACCAATCTTATATAAAATTTAGGCCATGAATGTTGAATAAAATTCAGAATGGCAGAGAAATGCCCCAATATAAGTTCAATAAATATAACATGTTATCTTTATTATAATCTGAAATATAAATTAATTTCTGCTTCAACTACTGCAAAAACCAATCTCTAGTCTAAAGCTACAAAATTTCTGTCAGAAAATCATGTGGCCTGAAGCAAAAATAAACTATTGGGACTATATCAAAATAAAAAGCTTCTGCACAGAGAAGGAAATAATCAGCAAAACTAAAAGGCAGCCTACAGATGGGAGAAGATATTTATAAATGACACATCAAATAAAGGGCTAGTATCCAAAATCTATAAAGAACTTATCAAACTCAACACCCAGAAAACAAATTATCCAACTAAAAAGTGAGCAGAATGGGGCCCCTGAGTGGTGCAGTCTGTTATGCGTCCGACTCTTGGTTTCAGCTCAGACCATGATCTCAGGGTCACGGGATGGAGCCCCATGTTGGGCTCTTCGCTCAGCAGGAGGTCTGTGTGAGATTTTCTCCCTCTGCACCCCCCCACACACGCACTCATGTGCTCGCTCTCTAAAATAAATAAGTCTTTAAAAAAAAAAAAAAGGGCAGAATGAACAGACATTTCTCCAAAGAAGACATACAAATGGTCAACAGACACATGAAAAAGTGCTCAACATAGCTCGGCATCAGGGAAATCCAAATGAAAACCTCAATGAGATATCATGTCACACCCGTCAGAATGGCTAAAATTAACAAGTCAGGAAACGACAGATGTTGGCGGGGATGCGGAGAAAGGGGAACCCTCCTACACTGTCGGTGGGAATGCAAGCTGGTGCAGCCACTCTGGAAAACTGTATGGAGGTTCCTCAAAAAGTTGAAAATAGAGCTACCATATGACCCAGCAATTGCACTCCTGGGTATTTACCCCAAAGACACAGATGTAGTGAAAAGAAGGGCCATATGCACCCCAATGTTCATAGCAGCAATGTCCACAATAGCCAAACTGTGGAAAGAGCCGAGATGCCCTTCAACAGACGAATGGATAAAGAAGATGTGGTCCATATACACAATGGAATATTATGCAGCCATCAGAAAGGATGAAATCTTGCCATTTGCAGTGATGTGGATGGAGCTAGAAAGTATAATCCTAAGCGAAATCAGTCAGAGAAAGACAAATACCATAAAATCTCACTTACACGTGGAATTTAAGAAACAAAACAAATGAGCAAAGGGGGGATAAAAAGAGAGAGAGAGACAAACCCAGCAACAGACTCCTAACAATAGAGATACACTGCTGGTCACCAGAGGTGGTGGGGAGATGGGGGAAACAGGTGATAGGGATTGAAAAGTACACTTATCATGATGAAAAACTATAATAAAATGATAAAAAAAAATCAAATTGTCTGTCAGTTAAAAATACAGTTGATAATTATGCAAATGCCAAATAAAAACACGGACCAAAATCACCTACTTGACCCGTAACACTGAAGGAGGAGGGCCTGAGATCTCCCCACAGGCACCACCTGTGATACAGACTGCCACTCAGCACGCCAGGCTTCCGAGTCCGTGCAGTCTCTGTCATCTGGATGCACGGCTACACGACAGGGAAAGCCCCCAGCCTCCTCTGCAGCTAGTGCTCTCGCCGATGAGGGGTGCGCAAGCGCAATCACATCCCCTCCCCTTCTACCCTACTGACCGGGACGCAGATGCCGTGGGCGATGCCCCACCTCGGGACTGTGCAGAGGAGGCTACACTCAGCACGGGAACCACACAGAATGTCCTTCCATCCTGAGCACAGTCCCTACAGCAGCTCAGACTTCCAGGGGAGAAAAGCGCATTTATCCTGTGCAAGGTCTCAGACAGATGCTGCCAAAACCGATTCTCGATATCCTGAGGTTCCTCAGCTATAATATGGGGTTAACGTAATCCCTTTTTCTCAGCTTACTGGAAGGATTAAATGTCTTCAATAGAAGAAAGTAGAACCTATGGGAAGGTTCCAGACCATCTACTAGGCTCAGTCTTCAGCTAAGTAACGTGTGACTTCTCATCAGCCTTGCATATGGGCAAACTCAGCCAATGACAAATTATGGCGCTCTGTGGGGACTTCACCATACATGTGCGGCAGGCAAAGGACGGGGCTCTGTGTGGCTGTAACTTACATGCTGTGACTGATAGTACGCGGGTTAGTCTCTCTTTCCAGGTCCCGACTCCAGGATTCACATCTCTTCCAGCCATCTTCTGTCTTAATCCAGCTCCATCCAGGAGATCTCCAGTCCTGACCCAAAAATGGCATAGTTCTCCTGTAAAAGAAGTACTTTATTTTTTTTAAAGATTTTATTTTTTTATTTAATTGACAGAGAGAGAGAGAGAGAGAGAGAGAGACAGTGAGAGAGGGAACACAAGCAGGGGGAGTGGGAGAGGGAGAAGCAGGCTTCCCGCTGAGCAGGGAGCCAGATGTGGGACTCGATCCCAGGCCCCTGGGATCATGACCTGAACTGAAGGCAGACACTTAATGACTGAGCCACCAGGTGGCCCAGAAGTAATTTACTTTAAAAAATGTATGTACAATTAACAGGTTTCCTTTCACTTATTCCTTAATTTTAAAGACTAAAGTTAATGCCTCCATATAGCCTACATGCTCAGGAGAGACTGATGGTAACACAGCACCTCGGTCATACCGTCACAGCAAGAAGGACATGCGCCGGTGGACCGACTAACCCGACACGGCGTACGTCAGGACAGGCTCACCAGAGGCACCACCTCAGCTTGTACCTGCAGAGCCAGCAGGAGTCAGGGACTGAGGAAGAACAGGGAGTGGTACACCAGAGAAAACGCTCTGCACCAGAAATCAGAAGCAATGGAACATGAAACATATTCCTGGTGAGCACTGTACGTTCTTCAGTTTGGATGAAGCTTATGGTGTGAGACTGGGCGTAGGGGGTGGTGAGAAGTGAGAACGGGAAGGGATCAAGTCAAAGGACCGGACTTTCCTCTGAGGGCAGCAAGGGGGCCAGAGTGGAACTTCAGCAAGTAAAGGATTCGACGAGATTCAAGCTTTACAAAAACCTCGGGGTCACGCTGTGAGGATGGAAGCCAGAGCTGCCCAGGGCAGGGGTGGCACCGGAGGGAGGAGGAATTAGGACGGCGGCTACCGAACACTGGCCACCAGAAGGTCAAAGTGTGGCTGCATTGGAGGAGAGAGATTCCAGAAGCATTCAGGAGGCAGAGTTCAAGAGCAGTCAAGGACTTCCGTCTTGCATGCTGTCTGTCTGGCTCTCTCACGGACTCCAAGGCAGCCAGCTGCCATGTGCTCAGCTATCCCAGGGAAAGGCCCGCGGGGCAGGCGCAACGTGCCAGAAAGGCTGGATGTGTGAGGGGAAACCAAAGATAGCCAGGTTTAGCTTCTGGCACCTAGAGATGTTGATTCAGTTTTGGACAAGCCTGTTAGATTTGCTGAACCCATGGCGATAGGCACTATCCTGGAATCCATGTGGAACAATCCAGGTGTAAAAATTATGACCTTAAAAAATGATGACACAGGGCGCCTGGGTGGCTCAGTCGTTAAGCGTCTGCCTTCGGCTCAGGTCGTGATCCCAGGGTCCTGGGATCGAGCCCCGCATCGGGCTCCCTGCTCGGCGGGAAGCCTGCTTCTCCCTCTCCCACTCCCCCTGCTTGTGTTCCTGCCCTCGCTGTGTCTCTCTGTCAAATAAGTAAATAAAATCTTTAAAAAAAAAAAATGATGACACAGATATTACTACTTTCATGACGCTTGCAATTTGTTGAGAGCAAGACCTCAAATACTAGCTCTTCCATTGCCTCTCGGTCAGTGGTTCTCAACCCTTGCTGTACGTTAACATTACTGTCTTGGAAACTTTTAGAAAATAGTGTTTAGCTTCACCCCAATTAAATAGGAGTATCTGTGGGCCACGGGAGTACACAAGGGAGCTCGATAAACACTGCACGAATGAATGCATATACAGATCCATCGCTCAGGAGAGAGAGGAAGGCTGGAGGACAGGACAGGAAACTCATCAGCATTAAGGTAGAAGCCAAACCCACAGGAATGATACCACAAGAGAGAACACATGGAGCCTAGGGAAAAACTCTAAGGGACGAGGACATTTGAGGCACAAGCGGTAAATAGGAGCCAAGAAAGGGAACTGAAAAGGAAGAGCCAAAGAGGTAGGAGGAAGGGAGTAGGAAGTCAAGAGAAGAATGTATTTTAAGAAAGGAATGACTGACAGAGAGGAAAATACTTATTAACAAGCTAGCACAGTAAGAATTGACAAGTATATATTGGATTTAGCCACAAAAAAGTAGCAGATAACTCAACCAAAAATAGTTTCAAAAATGTGTTATATTAATCTCACATCCGAAGTAGACTTGGAGCATTTCGCTAATGTGGAGTATTCCTAACAGAGTACCTGAGAGAAAGAAGTTTTCAAATATAATCTCCCAACTATACTTATTACAACTAACAAAAAAACAGGCTATTAGGTAGACATTTATACTGGCTTAGAATCTGAGACAAAAAAATTAGAAGGAAATTCTAAGTCTTCAACAGTATTCCTGGGTCAACTCTAAGTGCTCCCTTCCTTAACACAATTTGTTTTCCAGGAAGAACATCTTTAACAGTCACATTTTCACTCAAATTCTTATTTTAGAAAATACTTAAAATCATTACTTAAATCTCAGCACTATTTTTGTAAGTATCATCTTTTTTTTAAAGATATTTATTTGAGACAGAGAGAGAGAAAGTGAGAGAGCACAAGCAGGGGGAGCGACAGAGGGAAAGGGAGAAGCAGGCTCCCCGCCAAGCAGGGAGCCCGACATGGGGCTCGATCCCAGGACCCTGGGATCATGACCTGAGCCGAAGGCAGACGCTTAACGACTGAGCCACCCAGGCGCCCCGAAATTTTTCTTTTTTTTTTAAGATTTTCTTTATTTATTTGACAAAGAGAGAGTGAGCATAAGCAGGGGGAGTGGGAGAGGGAGAAGCAGGCTTCCCGCCGAGCAGAGAGCCCGATGTGGGGCTCGATCCCAGGAGCCTGGGATCAGGACCTGAGCCGAAGGCAGACGCTTAACGACTGAGCCACCCAGGTGCTCCTCTTTTTTTTTTATTTTTTTTTTTAAGATTTTATTTATTTGACAGAGAGAGAGCGAGAGGGAACACAAGCAGGGGGAGTGGGAGAGGGAGAAGCAGGCTTCCCACTGGGCAGAGAGCCCGATGCGGGGCTCGATCCCAGGACCCTGGGACCATGACCTGAGCCGAAGGCAGACGCTTAACGACTGAGCCCCCAGGTGCCCCGAAATTTTTCTTTTTTTTTTAAGATTTTCTTTATTTATTTGACACAGAGAGAGACACAAGGAGAGAGGGAACACAAGCAGGGGGAGTGGGAGAGGGAGAAGCAGGCTTCCCGCTGAGCAGAGAGCCCGGTGCGGGGCTCGATCCCAGGACCCTGGGACCATGACCTGAGCCGAAGGCAGACGCTTAACGACCGAGCCGCCCGGGCGTCCCTGTAAGTATCATCCTACAGATTTGTTTCAAACTACCAATCACCCTAAAATGCAGGGGCTACTACCACGTCCGGTCAGTTCATCATTATCTAAAACTGTCTCCATTAGTATGCACTCCTACTGAAGAAGGCAAGTGCAAACCATGACAGAGAAGATGCTGCTTAAAAGGTAATTTAGTCTCATAAAACACAGACGAGAGAAGAATGTCTGTGAGGACCATCTCCGACAGTTGCCAACATGATCTCTCGGCATCATATACGATGGATTCAGGAAAACCTGTATTAAAGAAAGTGGCAACCATGCAGAACACTGCTGCACAGACCAAATATAGACTACTCCACTGACAGTCAAACACAGACCAAACATGTTATTATGCTATGTGTCCCTTCCCTGAAGGTGTACTATCTAGTCCAAGAACTAAAAAGACAACAGCCACATCTTCTTTACCCATTCATCAGTCGATGGACATTTGGGCTGTTTCTATAGTTTGGCTATCCTGGGTAACGCTGCTAGAAACATCAGGGTGCAGGTGCCCCTTCAAATCTGTATTTTTGTTTCCTTTGGGTAAATACCTAGTAGTGCAACTGCTGGGTCGTGGTGGGGGGTGGTGGGCTAGATGGGGGATGGGAATTAAGGAGGGCACTTGTGATGAGCAATGGGTGTTATACGTAAGTGATGATCACTGAATCCTACTTCTGAAAGCAAAGTTACATTATATGTTAATTACAATTTTAAAATTTTTGAAAAAATAGATAACAGAAATAAGAAAACTCACACAAATAATATACGTAAATATATTTAAAAGATTTAAAAAATGTATACATATGTACTGAATGAGCAGTAAAGCAAGAATAACTAAAAGAAATTCAGAGTAAAAAGCAGACCATTTGGGACCTCTGAAGAAAAACCAGGGCATCATCTTGGCCTTAAAGCACAGTTAGATCTTAAGTAAATGGAGAGACCAGGGGAAAAAAGTACCAATCACAGAAATGGTGGGCAAACAAACACGAGACACCTTTGAGAATAACAAACAAAATAGGCTAGCTGAAATAGAGAAATCTTTGGGAAGGTTGGTAGGCAGGCTGGAAAGGTGACCAGAAGCCAGATCATGGAAAACTTGAATGTCAAAGCTGTTTGGACTTTATTCTCCAAATAACTAAGAGTTTTGGGGCAACGTAATGATAGGAGCAGTGCTATTCTGAGAATAACCTGCCAGGTCCTGTGCGGTAGATGGAGTGGGAGAATGGAGGCAGACAGCACAGCTCAGGCAAGAGAAACTTCCTGCCAACACCTCAGCTCACAGACTTTCTAAAACATGATGACGCAGAAACACTATGCCCACTACGCCCACTCACCACTTAAGACACTTCCATTCAGGCCCCAAAAGCAACTCCTAGAACAGTTAAGCAAAGTTTTCACTGTAAAGAGTGAGCTTGGTGTTTCGAGTAATATAATCAACTCTTTTGCAACTACCTCTGTGAGAAATGAGTATGGTTAGCCTGATAGTTCAGGTGCTGTGTGTATTTATACGGATTGGAAGGAATGAAGCCCAGCCCCATGGACCATGGAAATAAAAAACAGGAATTTCCAAGGTTTTTATCTTCAACACAGATGAAAAGATTTGTTTCGCTGTAGACATGTGGATTCCATAGATTTGACATATGTTCTTTGCATCACAATGAAGCTTTATTTTAAAGTATAATCCTATACAGTTCACGAACTAAGGCAGACTCTGGAAGAAGAGTTACTGCAAACAATAACAAAAAGCCATCAAGGGAAAAGCAAGAAAAAAAGACAACGTCCAATTTGAAAAGCCTGATACCAAATTTTCAAAAATACTCCCAACCTGAGGCATCTAAATTTGCAGATTGGAAATATTACTACACTTCTGGAATGATGAACAACCCATCACTTTTTATGGAAATTTATTTATCTGTCCTGCTAAAAGACCTGAATTGCTATAACTTTATGTTTTAATTAAAATCACATATGTTTTGAAAAATTTCAAATATGAAAATAAAAGCAAAACTTACTCTTCAAAATCAAGCACAGAAGAGCACCTCCTCAAAGGGCGGCTACTCAGTTGCAAATACCTGGTAGGAATTGCAATTTCATGCACATTTCACTCTAACTGATGTCAGAGAGCATCCAGGGCTAAAGTGTTAGAGATCTTCCCTTAATCTCTGCTGTAGGGGGCATGAGGTGGAAGCACAGGACTTCTCCAAGTTGACTGGCCCGTGGGAACTCCCAAGAGAAGAGATGCAGAACCAACCAAGAAATGTCTTCCTCCAACAAGCAACCCTTCTTAGCTAATGATAATCCTAGCACACACATATTAGACCTTAGTATGAATTAGGCTTCCTCTGAACAATTTACTATCTCAGCCCCCACACTGCCCTGAAAGACAGAAAGTGTCACCATCCCCCTTTTACAGCCTTAATCCTCCATTTTATAGAAGAAACTGAGGCACAGCATCTGGCAGAGCTGGGAATCACATTTCTGAAGTGTCCAGGGCCCATATGCTCTATCCCTGTATTTTTATAACAGCAATTCGTGAGCACCCTGTGAAAAGAAAAGGTCATAGAATTGTGGGTTTTCTCAAAAAGTGTTACCTTACATTACATAAGTCACCAGATATGGTCTAATTTAATGACTGATCTAAATGAAAAGACACTAAGGAAAACATGCCGGGAAACATAGTCTAATACATTTTAAAAGGCTATGGGTACTGTGCTGTTTAAGTCAGACGACAGGACACAAACAATGAATCATGGAACACTTCATCTAAAACTAATGATGTAATGTATGGGGATTAACATAATAAATAAATAAATAAATAAATAAATAAATAAAGTCAGACGACAGGAACGTTGAGTAACCAGGACTCTGGAGTCATGATTAGGTTCACGTTCCAGACAATAAAAGCAGTAAGTGTAGACCTAACGTTAATGCCATGCATAGTACACCCAGATAAAAAGAAAGTCACAACGTAAATAATAGTTTTGTGTTTAGCAAAAATAGGTGGCAAATGAGTTTCTTTTCCCCTTATTGCTTATGTTTCAATATAAATTGAGAAAACTTTCATTGTTCTGTGATAAGAAAGAATGGTCCCCAATTTCATAAGCATTCGATCTCTTTTACTGCTTTCTTATCCTTACAAGATTTCCGAATAACTTAGGGTCAAACATGAATATGGTTTTTAAGTATGGAGGCCCTTGATCCAGAAAGAACATCAAGAAGCAGTGAACTGAGGGCTGACCATCAGAAATTTCCTGTAAGGAGGCCTGAGAGATGGTCACAGATGCTGCAAAGAAACAGAGACGAGGAAATAAACAGGGAGAAAGGCAATCTGAGGGGTATGAGTTCCTACGAAAGAATGAGAAGATGTGTCTTCTGGTTAGGGCTGGAGGATACAGATTTGGAAGAGGCAAGGAAAGCGGACTTCACAGGATTCCTTAGATGCCTGAGTTTTCAAAAATGAGTTTGAATAGGCCCACAGAGAGCAGCGGCATCCAGGAAAGAAGGGCGAAAACGAACTTATGGCGAAGAGAAGGATGCAGAGCCCCGGCATCAGCTGCCGGCGCAGGGAGGCGGGCTCTTCGAGGATGCTGGAGCCATGAACGAGGACCGAGGGCCAGGCCTGGGGAAGACGCTGGAGCCACAGAGGAGTGGGGACCGAGGGCCAGGCACGGGGAGGTCACGGAGCCACGGACGAGGGCTGGGGACCGAGGGACCGGCTTAGGGAGAAGTTGGCACCCGGGAGGGGACTGGGGACCGAGGACCAGGCAAGCGGAGGACACCGAAGCCAGGGACGGGGACCGAGTGAGAAGCTGGAGCCGCAGCCGAGGACCGGGGGACCGGGGTCGGGCCGGCAGGTGGGCGCGGACGAGGACCGGGGGGTCGGGCGGCGGGTGGGCGCGGACGAGGACCGCAGGGCGGAGGCGGCAGACGCCCCCGGGAGAAGAGGGCTCGGGCGCGCGGGGGCGGGGGGGCCGGGACGGACACGCTGGCGGGAGGGGCTCCGGGAACCGTCGGAGGCCGCGCAGCCCCCGAGGAAAGCTCCCGCGGAGCCCGAGGCCAGGGCGCGGCGAGGTCGGGCGGCGGCCGCGGGGGCCGCGCCGTGCGGCCGAGGGCCGCTCCGCCCCCTCCCGGCGCGCCCGGGCCCCCGACCCTACCTGGCGCGGGGACGGCTGGGGAGGCGGTCACCGTCCCCACCTGGAGCGCGCGCCGCCTCAGTCCCCGCCCGGAGCGCAGACGCCCTCGCTCCCCACCGGACGGCGGAGCGGAGGCTTATTGCCGGAAGTCGCCCGCCGCCTCCCGGGAGCCTGGCCAGAAGCCCCGCCCCGGGCCGCGCTGATTGGCAGGTGCGGGTCCGCGTGGCCGTGTTGCTGCGCTGCTCCCCGAGGCCGAGACGCGCGCGTGCGCAGTGGGCGCCGCGCGGCCTCCTTCCTGCGCGTGCTCCGTGGGCGCGGCTGGGCGCGCGAGCCCGCGGGCGTGGTGCGGGCGGCGCCCTCGCGTGGGCGGGCGTCCTGCCGCCTCGTGCGTCCGTGCGGGGGAAGCCGGGAGGGCCGGGCGCCGGGGGCCGTCCGCGCCGTGGTCGCCGCGCGGGTCCGCGGGTCCCAGGCCGCTGCGCCGCCCGGCCCCACGCCCGCTCCCCGAAGCAGCCTGAGCCTCGGCAGTGCGGTTTCCATTGGCCCCGAAGCTCCGTCCCGTGATCTTCGGCCCTGACCTTACGGCTCAGGCGCCCCCCGTGTTTCGAATATGCGGGTCGCTCCGGAGGGTGGAGACGCCCCGGGGGCCCGCTCGCGCGCGTGGCTTCTTCCCCGACCTGGGATCGAGGGGAAGGTCGACGGGCCGGGGGGCGGGGCTCGGTCCGGGGCCCTGCTGGCGAGCTGTGGGGAGCGGAAGGCCTGCGCCACCCTGTGCCTCAGTTTCCCCGCAAGTGGGACAGCAGGGCCACTTGCTCGCAGGGGTCTTTAAAAGACTTAAATGGGGCGCCTGGGTGGCTCAGTCGTTAAGCGTCTGCCTTCGGCTCAGGCCATGACCCTGGAGTCCTGGGATCGAGCCCCGCGTCGGGCTCCCTGCTCGGCGGGAAGCCTGCTTCTCCCTCTCCCACTCCCCCTGCTCGTGTTCCCTCTCTCGTTGTCTCTGTCAAATAAATAAAATCTTTAAAAAAAAACACAACAGGGTGCCTGGGTGGCTCAGCCATTAAGCCTCTGCCTTCGGCTCAGGTCATAATCCCAGGGTCCTGGGATGGAGCCCAGCATCGGGCTCCCTGCTCAGTGGGGAGTCTGCTTCTCCCTCCCCCACTCCCTCTTCTTGTGTTCACTCTCTCGCTGTCTCTGTCAAATAAATAAAATCCTAGGGGCGCCTGGGTGGCTCAGTCGGTTAAGCGGTTAAGCGACTGCCTTCGGCTCAGGTCATGGTCCTGGAGTCCCGGGATCGAGTCCCGCTCGGGCTCCCTGCTCGGCGGGGGGTCTGCTTCTCCCTCTGACCCTCCTCCCTCTCATGTGTTCTCTCTCATTCTCTCTGTCTCAAATAAATAAATAAAATCTTTAAAAAAATAATAATAATAAATAAAAAAATAAAAGAATTAAATGACCTAACCTATGCAAGGTATTAGAACCATGCCTGGTGTATAGTGAGCGCTATAGAAGCATTTGATCTTCGTAATTTTGTATGTGAAACACACTGCAGGAAGCGTAGGAGGTATTCATATTTTGGAAAAGTGCTTTTTAAATTATTTCTGATGTGCTTATTACAGTAGCATTCTTTGACTATGTACTTTTAAAAATGTAAATGTAATGTAAGCGTGATTATGGACCGGAGACGGCAATAGGGCTTACATACCCCCAATTAATAAATGCCACCCTCCTTCCTTCCCCCTGCCCCCTTTCACAGCTGCAGATTATTCCATTATGTGGATAGATCATAGTTTTTAAAAATATTCTCCATGGGGGCGCCTGGGTGGCTTGGTCGTTAAGCGTCTGCCTTCCGCTCAGGTCGTGATCCCAGGGTCCTGGGATCGAGCCCCGCATCGGGCTCCCTGCTCCGCGGGAAGCCTGCTTCTCCCTCTCCCACTCCCCCTGCTTGTGTTCCCTCTCTCGCTGTGTCTCTCTCTGTCAATAAATAAAATCTTTAAAAAAAAAAATATTCTCCATGGATGGGCATTAGGTTCTTTATTTTGCCATTGGAAATAATGCCCAATGAATAACTATGGATGGTTTTTCTGTTTATTTTAAAATTTGTTGTGGTGTATTTGCTAGTAAATTACTATAATTGGAATTGTTGTATCAGGGATAACTGCATATAAAATTTTGGCAAATATTGCCAAGCCAAAACCCACTACACCACCATGGGAGCCATAAGAAGAGTATTAAGTTTAGCCTAATTTGCCAACATCCGTGTAACCCCTTGTGAGTTACGGGGCAGATTGAGAGGAGGCAAGGTAACAGGAATCCACAGGGTAGAAGCTGGAGTCCCCACACAGTAAGGAGAGCCCACAAAGCCTTTCAGACCAATTCTGGTCCACAAATCTCTGAGCGCACACTGTGCTCCAGTTACTCTACTCGATGCTTACCACAGATAAGCATGTCCACTGCCCTCTGGAAAGCCCGCTGACAGAGGAGGAGACAGGAGCAGGGCAAGAAAGATTGCCTCTATGAGGCGGAGGTGTGGCTGGGGGCGGTGCGGGAGTCATGGGAGGGGGGTGCTCAGCGTGGGGAAAGTGACCTGGGACAAGGTGCCTACTCACCTCAAATACTACAGGCACTCAGTTCATCTACACGTATCTGCTCAAGGTGAGGGAACACGTCACATTTCTTTGTTTGCTTTAAGATAACCCAATTCTGATAATATGCAAGGACTTGGGAACACTGACACTCGTTGCAGTCCTTCCCCCCAAGTTGGGGTCTCTCATAGCAGCAAGCCAGGGCAGTCACTGGTCACAGGCCATGCTGGGCGCCTCCAGGCCTCACTGGAGGCCTGGGGTGATGGCCAGCACAGGGACCCCCCTGCTTCCTGAAGTACACTGCACAACCATCTCCCTGACCTCCCCAAGTGCTGCCCAGAACAGGGTGAGCATCCCTGGTCCTCTTGGCATGAGCTTGACTTTGTCCCCTTAAGGCTCAGAGAATGTCTCTCCTCTTGTTCCCCTCTCTGGAACACTTCTATGTAATGGAATCTCTCTGCAGCACGTGAAGACTGATTCAGCTTTCCTCACAGCAACGATACCGAAGTAAGGAAAACCAGACCAGATCAGCAAAACAAACCCCTATCACCTTATGTAGTATCTAGTGTCTCCAGAGTCTGGGTCATGCAGGCTCAAGCAGGCACCGTGAGAGATGCTGTGAATACACACCTGAAATCTCCAGGTGTCAGGAGCTCACAATTCAAAGCAGATATAGAATGGCAAATACGCAGTGAGAAAACAGGGCCATGAGGACCACAAGGAGGTTCAAAATGAGAAGGGCATCCAGGGGCGGAAGCAACCCCCTCTGATGGAGACACCTCCAGGAAGCACTGGGAGGTCACAGGGGCGCTGAGTTTCAGAAGCCAACAGGCCATAGCAGGGAGGCAGGACGCAGGATCCGGCCATCTTTTTGTTTGCTTATTTGTTTGCTCTTGGTGTCAGGTCTCCTTATATTTCAAGTAGGGATTAGCATAGAATTTTGGGGGTAGGGGTGCCTGGGTGGCTCAGTTGGTTAAGTGACTGCCTTCGGCTCAGGTCATGATCCTGGAGTCCCTGGATCGAGTCCTGCATCGGGCTCCCTGCTCAGCGAGGAGCCTGCTTCTCCCTCTAACCCTCCCCCCGTCATGTACTCTCTCTCTCTCATTCTCGCTCTCTCAAATATATAAATAAAATCTTTAAAAAAAAAAAAAAAGAATTTGGGGGGTAAACTAAGTTGGTGGCCAGGAGCACACGGTAAGTGTGAGACGTCAGAATGGGGAGGCTAACATGAAGACAGCAGACCCACTCACAGCGTCTCATCCACCAACTCCTGAAGCTCTGTACTTGACAAAACATACCGATAGTAGCCTCGTTCAGCTCTGAAAACCTGTCTGTGCAGCCTGGCATGATGCCAGCTGGGCGTGATCCTGGATGATCCTGGACCGACAGCACACGCTCGGGAGTTCAACAGATGTGGGACCGTCGTCTAGATGCCTGGACGTGCGACTTTGGGCAATTACAACCTCCTGAGCCTTGGCTTCTCACCTGGAAGTGAAGCCACTGCTATCTACCTCTAAGCCTATCAGGAATGTTAAATATTACTATTCGTATCGATTCTCCAGCAAACTCTATTTGCCTCTATCTTTCTTGCATGTGTTGGGCAGTGAACCAATCTGCATGTAAAAGGTAAGGCTACCTAGAACTCTGCTTATAGATATATTTACATTAATACATATGGCCCAGCACATTCCACTCCCAGATATTTATCAAAGACAAATCCAAACACGTTCACAAAAAGCACAGAGTATTAGCGCTGTACTCCTAGTGGAACCTAGAGATCTATCCACAAAATAGTATATTAACAAACTGTGATGTGTTCATGTGATAGAGCACTACTCCCCATATAAAAAAACTATAAAATTTCTACATGTAACAACATGGATGAGTATCATGAATATTATCTTAGTGAAAAGAATGCAGACACAAAAAAGAATGTACTGTAGGATTCACAGAATTCATTCATACAAAATTCTAGAATAGGCAAAACTAACATATGGTGATAGAAATCCCATCTGTGGTGGCTTCTGGGGGCAAAGGGAAGGGACAGAGGCAACTTTCCGGGCCTATGGAAATGTTCGTTGTTGTTTGGTGCAAGAATGTGAACGTGTTAAATCTGATTTCCCATTTCACTCTGTTATACCTCAATAGGTCAATATGTATTTTACTTTGGGAGGAACATTTTGTCTCTGACATTCTTAGATCTTACGCAACATATTTGAATTAAAAAAAAAAATCGAACCAACAACTATGTTGAATGCTTACCCCACACCCAGAATCATATGAAGAGTTGTAGGAAATGAAGAAAATGTAGAAACTCTCCTTGACCTCTAGGAGCTTGTGCTCTGTGATTGAGGACGCAGGAAGCATACTTCAGAACTGTTGAAGAGCAATCCAAGACTTAAATAACAATTCAAAAGAACAGAGGGAAGGGCCAAAGCAGTTGCATAAATGGGTAGTAATGTTTATAGGGAGTTATAGGTACAAAGAAATCTTTATAATGAAGGAGAGTCCAAGGAAGATACTAAAATTCACTTTGACAAGTGGGAGATAAAAAGCAGTTTCATAACTGAGTATGGAATCCAACAGGATGACATCTTTTGTAAC